ATACTCAGAACACATTACAATCCCTACAATAACACGGGTTCTCAATAAATTGGAAAAAGAGTCATTTAACACCATCGACTTGGTTAACCCATCTGGGGGCAGTCATGGATACGGTGGAAGGCAAAGTTTACCTGTCACCAGATCGACTAAATAGCATTCAGCAATTAGTCAAGGAGATCAGGGGTCTTAAGAGGGTGTCCCTAGCGGAACTATCAAAATTGTTAGGCAAGATGATCTCATGTATCTCTATCATCCCTTGGGCCCGGCTCCACACTAGATCCCTCCGGTGGTTCCTGCTACCGTACCAGCGCTCCAGCCAAAGCAACTCCAAATACAAGGTCAAGGTACCATCAAAGGTCCTCATATCCTCTGGTGGACCAGACCAGTCATGAACAGAAGCTGCCTCTTCAAAGGGCCACACAGACTTACCATCACCACCAATGCAGCCTGTTTGGATGGGGAGTGCACGTTCAATCGTTCACAACCCAAGGCCACTGGTCCACCACAGAACAGTCATGCAGGCTGGAGCTTCGAGCAGTACACCTGGCTCTCCGCAGCGTCCTTCCACAGGTACACAATCAGCACATACTAATATTGACTGACAACGTAACAGCCAAAGCTCACATAAACATATGGGGGCACACAGTCGAAACATCTCATGCGAGAAGCGGAGCGCTTGTGTCGTTGGGCGGAGAGCAACCTACTTTCCATCAGAACAGAGTACCTTTTGGGTCTGTCAAATACACAGGCAGACTTGCTGAGCAGGGCCACGATCGATCAATTGGAGTGATGCCTCCATCCGACCCTGTTTCAAGAGGCGGTCAGGACATTTCAACAGCCAGTGGTGGACCTGTTCGCTTTCCCCCTCAACGCTCAGCTCCTGAGATTTTTTCCAGGTAGGGAGGGAGCAGAGAACTTCAATTCGCTCCACTGTCGTTGGCCCCCAGGACTTCTGTATGCATTCCCGCCATTTCCACTGGTTCCCCAGGTCATCCAGAAACTGCTAGACGAGAGGGCAGAACTACTTCTAGTAGCTCCTTACTGGCTCAGATGGCCGTGGTTTGCAGGCCTCCGTAGTCTATCCGTATCAGCACCATGGAGAATTCTGCCAGCCAGGGTCTCGCTAACCCAGGGACCCCTTCAACTTCTGGACCCTCAATGGTTGCACCTAACCGTCTGGAGGTTGAGTGGAGTCTGAAGAGCAAAAAGTTTTCCAACAGAGTTATCACCACTATCCAAGCCACCAGACGCCCCTCAACAACTCGCATTTACAATGCCACATGGTCCAGTGTCTGCAAATGGTGTACCAAGTCTCAAATTGATCCCATCTCTCCATCTGTGGCTCATATCCTAGAGTTCTTGCAAGAGGGACTTGACAAGAGATTATCACCTAATAAGTTGAAAAGACAGGTGGCGGCCTTGGTGTCAGTTCTCACTTGTGAAGGTCTACTATCTCTTTCCCATCATCCTTCGAGGAGTTTCCTTCGAGGAGCCACAAATTTACTCCCTCCAGCAGTACATCGTTATCCCACCTGGGACCTTAACAAGGTCCTCGTCGCACTCACTAAGGGCCCTTTCGAACCCTTGAAATTGTCAAGTCTCCAATTTCTGATGTATAAAGTAGTTTTCCTTGTAGCGATCACTTCTGCTCGTCATATTTCGGAGATTGCAGCTTTGTCTATCAGACAAGATCTTTGTGTTTTCCATTCTGACCGGGTGGTCCTTCGTCCTGATCCTACGTTGATACCCAAAATTAACTCAGTTTTTCATAGGGCACAAGAGCTGATATTTCCTAATTTTTGTCCCAGACCATCCCAAGGGTTGGAACTACAATGGCATAGGCTTGATGTGAGGCGAGCATTGCAAATATATATCAACTGCACAGCGGCTTTCAGAAAAATGGAAGCCTTATTTGTGTCTTTTCAGCCCAACACTCAGGGATGCAAGGTCTCACCTTCTACAATAGGCCGTTGGCTACGGGCCACGATAGCGAAAACGTATCAGACTGAATCCCTGCAGGTGCCCAGGAGCATAACAGCTCATTCAACAAGGAGCGCTGCAACATTGGCAGCGTGGGCCACATAGGCACCAATAACTGAAATTTGTCGAGCCGCAACCTGGGCCTCTCCATTGCCATTCATTAGGCATTATAAAATAGATGTGTTTGCATCCGCTGAGGCCTCCTTTGGCAGAAGAGTTCTGCAACGGATCCACAGGGACCAGGAGGAGATTCCAGGCCAGACGGAGTCCCTCCCATAGGATAGGCCAAGCTTTGGTATGTCCCACTACTGGATGCTCTGAACAGCTCATGGGAGAAAGGGCATTGGTACTTACCTGACACGCCTGTTCTTTTTGAGCTGTGAAGAGCATCCAGCCCCACCCTTTCCCATCTGGTGGGGTCCTGTTTCGGCCAACGAATTGTTAGGGCATTGAGGACAAGGGCGTTTATTTCTCTCATCTTTGCCAAAACTGGGGAACGCTGGGGAGGAGTCCCGTGGAGGAGGAGGAGCGTTCCACAAATTAAGCCCAGCCTAGCCATGCAGAGACTGAAGCACCTCCCACTCCTGGATGCTCTTCACAGCTCAAAGAGAACGGGCGTGTCAGGTAAGTACCAACGCCCTTTCCCTCCTACTAAGATAAACTAAAATTGAAAGTGATTCATCTGCTTATGGTGGTATATCACTTGGCAAACCATTCCAGATATTGTCCCCTATATCCAGTCCTGCTAACCTGTCATTATGCTTGCAGACCAAGAATAAGGGCAGTCAGCAAGAAAACTATGTCAGCATGAAATCTGCTGTCCCAATTGCCAGTCCCTTTCCTATCTCCCCCGTGCAAGTTCCGACTTATTGCCAATGATGCCGTCCTGATTATGCATGATAAGCAAAATGATTGGTTGATTCCTCTGACTTGGCAGTCCTCCCTCTTCTGCATGTCATTACCCATTGGCAGAAATACCCATCAGTCACATTGCTGCAGCTGGAATGGGATGGATCGGGCTGCAGGGCTCTCTGTCCATCACCTCCAAGTTTCTTTCTGTGCTGTTCTTTCTCTTCCTCCTCCACCCCCTTCTCTTGTAATCCACATTGAATGTAAATGTAAAAAAAAAAAACCTCCATGTAAATCAAAACCACAAAGGGAACTGAGTCACAGGCAGCGCTTACTTAGGATTTCTCTCTTCTACTTTTCTTTAGGTAGGCAACAGCTGCCAACTTCTAGACCTCTCCATGCTCTGGGTGGTTGGGAACACTGGCATTTCCATAATTTGCAGTTTCTGCCTTGCACTAAACTGGCATAGTTTATAGGTATAATACTACTGGCCGAGCAGGGGTTTTTTTTGTGGTTGCATATTTTTGAGAAACCAGTGGCTTGATGCTGTTGCATGCAGCTCTTTTGGAAGGCAGTACAGGTAATCATTGACTTACAACAATTCACTTAGTGACTATTACAATGCCACTGAAAAAAATGACTTACAACCAGTTGTCACACTTATGACTGTTGCAGCATCTCCATGGTCATGCGATTTACATTCGGATGCTTGACGACTGACTCATATTCATGACAGTTGCATTGTCCTGTGTTGATCATCTTGTTTGATGTTCTGACAAGGAAAGTCAATGGGGAAACCAGATTTACTTAACAACCGTGTTACTAATTTAGCAACTGCAGTGGTGCACTTAGCAAATAGGGCAAGAAAAGTCATAAAATAGGGCAAAAGGCATTTAACAAATTTCTCACTTAGCAACATACATTGTGGGTTCACTTGTGGTCTTAAGTTGAGGACTATCTGCAGTGGAATAGCAGGAGGAGGAATACCAGGAGGACCAGGGAGAAATAGCTGTTAATATTGATTAGTTAATATTATAATTAATAAACTAATCAAGGAGAGAAGCAACCTAGAACTAAGGAAAAATTTCTTGACAATTAGAACAATTAATCAGTGGAATAACTTCACTCCAGAAGTTGTAGATGCTCCAACGCTGGAAGTTTTTAAGAAGAGATTGGACAACAATTTGTCTGAAATGGTGCCTGAGCAGGGGAGTGGGTTGGACTAGAAGTCCTCCAAGGTCCCTTCAACTCTGTTATTTTGTTAATATGCACCCATCAGCCCAATAGGCACTGCTCTGATACCATCCTTGACTTGGCACCCGGTTTTGCCTTCAACATAATGAGTAATAAAACACAACAGGTGTTACCCACCTTGCTGCTGCCACCAGATACTGTTGATTAAAAGAGGAAAATGCTACCTTAAGACTGAATGTAAGGAGATCTAAGAAAGGCTGAGATATGTCTTGCATGTGGGCTGGGAGCCCGGACAACACTGTGGGATTATGGCAGGAAAAATAAGCTGTTGGGGACTGTTAATGTTGCATTTCGGTATAGATTGAAGGAGAAGAAAAGAAGAGAATAGATGAATAAAGGTGATGCTGAAGATGCTGGCTTTATGGAAAGCCAAACCTTATTCTTCCCAAATTATTCAAACTGGGTCCAGGGATCGAATGCCCTGTAAGTTAATCTTGCCTTTACCTGGATTTTACCTCATATGTATCTCTACACTATTGCTAGCCCTTCTTTGCTCTGCGTGCATTTACGTTTTGTAGGAGATGCCAGGCACAAGGGTTAGGATTTGCGCCTTTAACTCGGTAGTTAAGCTTTGTGCCTGCTGTGTCTCCCCCCCCCTTCCCCCCCCCCCCACTCTGCTCTTCGTTGCCATTCCCATAGCTGAACTTGGGAAGACCCATCTTTCTCCTCCTGAGTGAACAAGACATTAGTCCTTAGCTGACGTGCTATTTTTGTGAAGATGCTGTTTGTGTGAGGTAGGTGACGAGCTGGCACGGGTGGATCAGGTGGCTTCTCTAACCGAAGGGCTTGGCTTGCACATCCACTCACATGAAGAAAAACGCACACACACACACACACACACACAGACAGACATTTGAAAACCTTTGCTTCTCTAGTGACAGACAATTTCTCTTCTGCTGCTTTTTGTCTTTGCTAAGGAAAAAAGGAAAAGGCAGACGGAAATAGAAGGGAAGAGACAACAGCTCGAGGACCAGATTCTTCAGCTGCAGCATTTCAAGGTAAGGGCTGATCCTGGATTGACCAGAGCTGTATGTTTTGAGACATGCAAATCACACATTTGGGTAGCTGGGAAGAACCTGTTCCAACATGAAGCAGCCTGCGTTGCCGGAGTCTGTCCGCTCCAGCTAATCAAATCCTTACCGGGTCTCTCTCCTGTGTGTGATTCTCTGTTAAAATACCATGTTATTGAAAAGGATGGAGCAGAATAGATGATGGAAGGGGGAGGGCATTTACAGCAGGCACCAGAATTTGGCTACCGGTTTAGCAATTCACAACATATCCTTTGAATTGGAACGGATGTGGATTTGGGTGTGTTCACTGCATTGCTTAAATGGTTCTTTTCCCAGCTAGGCAAACACGGAGGCTGCTTTTGTGTGCTTAATTATGGGAGTACTTGATCTCTATGGTTGTGTAATGGGGTCTCTGTATGTGTGCAGGTGTGCCTAAAACTGCAGAGCTATTCAAGGGGTATATGCAGTCCATACAGTGAAGATTGGACATAATCTGCATTTGTAAATTAAAGGGATTCCCAATTGAAAACTTGAGATTACATGCAAAGAACTGTCTATTGATACTGTAGATACTGTAAAATGTTGTATATAGGTACATTGTAGGACAGATTAAACCAGGACTACCCTATCTGAGCTACAGAATGTTGGGCTATCCATCTAGTGATTGTCTGGAATTTTGCAGCCCTAGTACAAATTGATGTATTTATCTATAGATGTAACTAGTTTGTATTTACTGATTTGGATACTGCTGAAAGTCAGATGCATCTTGAATAAGATCACCATCCATGGAAGTGCAACTGATTTTCAAGCAGGACGTTCCAGATTTACACTCCAATACCTTATATGGAAAGGAATAGAGGGCAGTTTAAAACAAAGATTCTTCTCAAAGAGCTGGCTGCCCCCTTTGTAGAGTTTTAGATGTTTCTAATCACCTTTTATTCTACAAATCTTTCTCTTCTAAACAAATTGTTCCTAATATGACAGTTTGAAATCCTTGATATTTTAGCCTGGTCAGTGCCTGCAGGATAGATTTTCATTAGTACTTCTGAGCTTTTCCACCGAAGCAGAGGAGATGACTAATGGATTAGATTACATGTACACCTAGGTATAGTGGAGCACTTGTACCATTGATGCCTTGCATTCTACAGTCCGGTTATTGGGCATTATCCTACCCCCCACAGTGTGAGGCTACGCAATACAGATAACTTTCCCCTGTGTATTTTTATGCAAAGAGTGTTATAATTCTGAGTCTGTGGGAGTGGGATAAGTGTCAAAATAAAGTAGCTGGAAATTGTTGGAAATAATGGCCACTTGTTGTACTTCAGCCTAGAGCTGCTGAGACAACATTTGGAATTTCTGGGCCTTTTCTACTTTTTCCTTGGAAACATACCTTCTTTGAATGGTATTCTCCCCCCCCATCCCCCATGTATTCTTATCTTGGGGGCAGCACCTAATTTTTCCCCTCCTCCCCCATGTCATTCTATCTGAGGGACTGTGAAGTGCTCAAAATGGTGTGATGCTGTGGCCTCCCAGCACAGTTGCTGCTTCTGCCACTTGCATTGGTATTTCTTCAAGCAGCTGGGGTACTACTGCTCATGCAGGTTCACAGGGGTTGAGACAAGCCATGTGTTTCGTCAATAAAACTTCTTGTCACCAAGGGGGAATTATGTTCTTGTTTGGAGATTGAAGCCACCTGTGCTAGACCTTTTAAAAGATCAGGTCACGTTTTAATAGGAAAAGCCGTGTTGAATGCTTGTTTAAAGAACAACCGTCCCTAATTGTTAACCTCCAGATATGTTGGACTTGATTTCCAGAATCCAACAGCCTGGTTGGAGGAGGCTGATGTAGACATGAATCAAAAAAGAGAATAGATTAAAATGCTTTTATTTATTTGTTTTCCAAGTCAACCAGGTGGTGGCTGACTTTGAAAGCTCTTATTCAAGGACAGCACAAACTTCAGGAAACTTTTTTAACTCTTAGCTAACAAAGATCAGTGTTGGGCTGTACGCTGCTCCAGATTCAAAGTTTTGCTTTTTTTTTTTAAAGTGCTTTTGAGCATACAGATGCTCATCTCCATTTAAAGCACCTACATCCAGGATGGTGTGGCTGTTCCTGAGTAAAGGAACATTGGGTTTAAGGGGTTGGCAGACTAGGTGCATAACCACACAGACACTCTAAAATCCCTTTCTGTTTTTAAGACCAAAAAACTTTGCAGTCATGATGTGCTTGGCCTGTTAGTGATTGGACCAATACCCAATTCTTGCAGCATAATCCTGCCTCTGAGGATTAGAAATGCTTGAAAGTGACTTGAGGAAGGTATAGAATTCCCTAACTGGTACCTTCCAGATGTACCGGACTTCAAGGCTTGTAAATTTCTAATCCAAATGACCAAAGGCAATGTGAGGTAAGGAATTACATCACATAAAAAATGAGGGAAAATTCATTTACATAATTCTCTCCCACAACTACTAAATTAGAGTGTATAGAGTTGTTTCTGAAACAACGCAAAAGTTTACAAAACTAGTTTATCAAAGCTGGCAGTGAGCTACTTCACTGCTCATCCTTAAGTAATAATTCTCCCTTCAAATTCAAATTCTAAAAATTTGACAGTCACAGTGGGAATACTTGTACCTATATGTTTATGGTCCTATTTATTAGCGATTTACTCCCTTTAAAAATTAAAACGGAGTCAGATACCTCAGCTAGTACTGGATCTCTGTGGATGCTGATATAATATCGAACGTTTATATGTTGGGTACATCATCTCTATCCATCTTTCATAGTGCAGAATCGAAGAGGTATCACCTGGTATCCTACTTTCCATCTCTATTTTGCTGCTTTAACCAAAGGCCTCTGGGATTGTTCAGAATTGTTTCCAGCATCTCTGGAAGTGTAGATACAGATAGCTATATAAATAATACAAAACCTTTATTTTAATCCATTTATACCACCCAACGCCTAATGACTCTGGAAAAATTCTTGTCTTTTTCTCCCTGCTTTTTCTTGCCTTTTACCTCAGTTTGTCACCAATCAGTTTTGATATTTGCTGATGTTTAAATAAGTCTCAAGCAATGTTTCATAAAGTAATAGGGTTGGAAATGACTTTGGTGGTCTTCTAATTCAACCCCCATGCCCAGAACAGGATTCCTGCTATTATCCCAGATAAATGGTTATCCAATCTTTTCCAGTGGTGGAAGCACCCTTGATAGGATGTGGCAGACAGTTCTACTAATTGTGTTCACAGTCAAAAAATTCTTCCTTATTTCAAATTTGGATTTCTCTCTGTAAAGCTTTCTCAGGTTTTTAATCTTTAACCCACTGTTTTTTAATCTTACCCTTGGATGGTACAGAAAATAAATCTTCTGCCTTTGACATCCCTTCATGTATTGGAAGATTGCTGTCATATTTCCTTTCAGCCTTCTCTTCTTTTAGCAATAGCACTTGGACTTATATACCACAGTGGTTTACAGCCGTCTCTAAGCGATGTACAGAGTCAGCATATTGCCCCCAACCATCTGGGTCTTCATTTTAACGACCTTAGGATGAAAGGCTGAATCAACCTTGAGCTGGTGAGAATCAAACTGCTGGCTGTGGGCAAAGTTAGCCTGTAATACTGCATTCTAGCCAGTGTGCCACCTTTAGACTAAACATATCAAGGCTTTTTAGACTAAACATACCAAGTTCCTTTAACCATTCTTGGTATGATTTGGCTTTCAAGCCCCTTTCCTTCTTTATTCTTCTTCTTTGCATGCTTCCCTGTTCCTCGGTGTTCTTTTTTGTATTATGTTTTGTATTGTACCATAGGATACGGTATTCTAGGTGTGGGGCTGCCCAATGCCACTTAAGACTGTTACTTCCTGTTATCTTGACACTTGGTTGATGCAGTCCCAATGTTCTGACCCAGTGGAATTCCCCGAGAGCAAACACAGATAAACTCAGACTTTCTCAGCTTTAATATCCAAATAAACCTCTTTGTAGATAACAGATGGCTTGCAGCCAATTAGTCCAATTACAAAAACCTTGGCAGAAATCTTCCAATAAATCAGAGTCTGTAATCACCACACTAAGTCCTTCAAATTTTTGCCTTTTGCAAAGGCAAAAGCCATTTGAAACCAGGCTTATATTCCATAGAGGCGGGGGGGGCATTACATTGCATCCTTACTCCCGAGTCGTCTGTGCAGCTTCAGCTGTTCTCTTCTACGAATCATCCTGCGCTCACGTGCACTTAGCACAGGCTCTTCTGAAACCTCCTCATCACTGCTGCCAGCCCCCACCATCCCTGAAGGCAGCAGTCCACTCCCTGATGATCCGGGCCCCTCCTCCGAGTCCTTGCTCTCCTCTACTGTCTGCACCTGCTGCCGGCTAACCACAACACCCAAGCTGTATTGGATTACTTCTCTCTTTATTGGGACACTGTGTGAAACGCTTTCTCTAGAGGTCTGTAAGTTTTCTGGGGGGGAATGCCTTAAACTGATCGCATTGCTTCACTGACAGCACAGTAAACTTGGTCCTCCAAATTACATCTGCTAGCCTAAAGCTGCTGTTTTTTTCTGGAATAATGTCTTCCTTTCAATGTTGGGTTCTTTTTGAGGCATTCTTCTGCCTTGTCCAAACTGACCTTTCTTGAGTCTCTGTGTGGCCTGATCAGTGGTGGTATTCTACCAGTTTAGCCCGATTTTGCCGAGCCGGTAGCGGCGATGAGCAGCAGAGACTGAACCAGTTCTCTCTGACACTCTATATTGGGCCCACCCGCCCACCTGGGCTCCCATATGTCCTGCTTTTGAAGCACAGCTGCTTTGCGCGGCGCAGCGCAGCAGCTGCTGAAGCATCAGGGAGAGTGCAGGATTGCTGGAGGTGAGTCAAAACGCCTCTGTGCCCGCACAAAGTGCGAATTTGACACGTGCACGCACACAAAGTGTGCACATGCGTGCAAAGCGCGGTCACCAAGCCACGCCCACCGAATTGGTGGTAAAAATATTTGAAACACA